ATTGTAAGTCATAGAAATTTATGATCCATTAGTCTAGTTTAATGTCCCGCAAACAGAATTGAAAAATATTTTCATGGTCATGAGTGGTAAAGTGGCCCCTGTTTTTTGGGACACACGGTATATATAKTATATACCAATGTGGCAAAGTCCATATTTGAGTAGGTATGTAAAGTGCTAAAATACAACTAGGTTGAGATTTTTTATTTTCTATGAGAACACAACTAAATGTRTGAAAAAGTTTGAATTTAATGTTGGCTGATTTGACGTTTTTATACTCATGATAATACATAATCATAATATTATATACTAATATACTATTCAATTAGATTATCATATACCTAGTCTATATATATATGGATACAGAACAGTGGATAATATAGACATCGACAAACACATCGATGCGTCATTTGTAATAATTTATTTACTATTATATTTTAGATTGCCGATTAAAAGACACAAATTTCTCGAACCATTTTTCTCGGCCGTATAATATAATATGCATTGGAATATGTGTCTTGTCATGTGTGTGCTTGAATATAATATATAATAACATTATTATAACGTGTCGTCTGCGGACCGATTTGCTGCAACTATCTACTCGGTGGTCGCGTAGTATAATTGATCTATATATTATTTTGATGAGACACGATAATATTATTACGCCGTGGTTTTRGYCGTCGTCACTTCTCAGGACGCTTCTTCGCATGTGCACAGACACCAATCGTAAGTGTACATGCCGAGGAAGAACGACACGGTGGCCACGAGGATGTAAGACGTTTTGTCCCACGTCCAGTCCACCACGACTCTCGACCACTTGCAGACCGTCGAAAAAAGAGTGTCGGCACTACCGCGGCCGTAAGGCTTCGAGCCTCCTAGACAAGCCGTCGCCGCCGTCACTGCCGCCGCCGAAATGCAACCGCATCCGTTGCATCCGTTGTTGTTGGTGCTGTAGTTTCCAATGCCGGAACATCGGTTGTTATTGGCGCCGAAGTTTCCGGTGCCGACACCGGTGCATTGCACATCGTTGGCCCTGTAGTTTCTGGTGACTGTGCATTGAGTGTTGTCGGTGACCCCACATTTTTCAGCGGCGCCGGTGCACTGGCTTTCGTTGACCCTGTAACTTCTGGTTTTGGTGCATTGCGGGTTGTCGATGGCCGCGTACTTTCCGGTCCGGGGGCATTGACCGCGACAGTCTGCTGTCGTCTTTATGCAGGTCGAGCCCCTGTCGTGTTGCGGCACAGACCGGTACGTCTTCTGCCCCACATCGCTGCAATGGAGTGACGCCGATGCCCTATCAGCGGCGCCGGTGCATCGATCGCTCTTATTGGTCCGGATGCAAGCCGCCGTGCACTTCATCCGCGTCTTCTTCGTCRGCCCTTCCACGCACGACGGTGATTTCGTCCTTTTGTTGGCTAAAAACTTGTATAGACTGTCGTCAGAATTAATTTCAGTCATCGTTGGAGTCGTTACGTTACGGCGTCGCACCGGTCTGAGTCTCGTCGTGTCGTGTTCGTCGTCGTCGTCGTCGTCGTCGTCGTCGTGTTCGCAGAGTAATATCGTCATAGTCGTGTACCTATTAAACAATTTTCCGATTTCAGCCCAAACCGTGTATGGAAACCCGTGGTCCCGGCCGTCTGTTGACATTCCAATACATATTATATATCAATAAACGAGTTCCTAGGCGATGGTATGAGTAATTATAAATAAATATTATTATTGTTCGTTATAGCTATATAAACGATCGAATACGCTTAYTATTATAAATTTATTATATAATAACATAATGTTAACTAACTAACATTATCGCTATCATCTCCTGCAGTGGCGTTGGTGGTGAGTGGCGGCTAACATCACAGCCAGCTATAAAGTCACAATTGTTTTTTCCGTGTCCATCATGTCCGGAATACCTACTGTTGTTTTTATACTAACAATTAACATTCATTCATGAGACAATGTAAAAATCCATAGCAGTCGGTTGTCAATTACCGAATTGGTTCTCTGGAGGAGTGGAGGTATACAGGTAACAGACGAATTGGTTCGAATGAACTTCCTTTTGAATAATACAACTATATTATGACAGCATTTTTTAACTGACAGTAAATTTACATTTTATATCAAAGACTTAGGAGTGTACAGTTCTATAATATAGTATACGTACATTTGTTTGTACTTATAATAATAATAATAATAATAATAATAAAATAGTTCTATAATAATAGTTCAACCAAATTTAAAAAGAAATTTTACGTTGGTTAAAATAAATAATAATACCTTAAAATAAAAATATATAAGATAAACCTACAAATTTTACAACTGTAAATTTAACACGATATAATTTGATAGTTACTCAATTTTTCATTCATTTTGTACATCAATTAACTTTCCTAAGAAAATTACAGTCATCAAGTGTTTACCTAACAATAATACATTAATTTCACAATAATTATTATCATTTCATATCTCGTTGATCTCTATCAGTTTTGTTTTTTTTTTACTACGGGTCCTACATTTTGTTATAATGTCAGTCTTCTCTCCTATAATAACCATAACAATTGACAATGTATAAACCTACTTATAACTTACACACTGTGGTCTGCAGCAAGCGTAGAAATCGTATTCAAATACTGTATCCTTACTTCGTCACAGATTTTACGGGCAATAATAAGTTGTATTATATTAAGAATATTAGGTTTTATTAGACGTGAAAATATTTTTTTGAAAAATGATTACAAATTCCAAATAACTATTACAGTAAGTTTTTTTATATGCTGGTATTTTAGTTTATTAAATGAATTCATATCAAAATATTTAGGATTTTACATTTAGTAATTTAATCATATAATTAATTTTAATTTTTAATAAAATATTAAATTTAATCGGGTATATTGTAAAAACATTTAATTATACTTCGATGTGTGATCAAAATTTCGTTATCATAATTCAAAGATCAAAGTTTAATATTTTTTTGATCATTTGACACAAAAATTTTAGGACTGAATTAAAATCTAATAATTAAATATAACAGTTTCACGTCGGTTGCAGGCGAGAATAAAACGAATTCTCTCTAAGTTTTCTCTCTCTCGAATTTCTCTCTTTTCCTCTGTAGCACGATTACCGGTTATAAAAATATGTTTGGGTTCCTACCACCAGAGACGGTAACATTATTTTTAAGGAAAAACCGGTCCTTAAATGTGAACCCTCGAAAATAATGTGTCAGAAACTGAACAGTGAATACGCAGCTCAAAAAAAGAGGACATTATACTCTTATATTTGAATATCTGTTGTTTCCGCCTTACAAAACGTACCACATTAAAGCGATATTTACGTTTAAAATAATCTATTTCGTGCTTTAAATGGACTTATATTAACATTTTATTAGTACATAGCCATTATAGCTATATAATTTTAAGCATCACGTAGATTTTTTTCCATTTTAATTTTAAAACATGGCATGAGAATATTAATTTCATAACTGTAAATTTTTTTGTAAAATTTAAAACACTCATATAATAACTTGTTTCAAAATTAAAATTTAGAATTTTCGAAATAAATTGGAAAAAAACCTTCGTGTCGGGTTTTGAATTATATTCTTGTGGTTTTTAGATTTAACTTTTATAATAACTCAATAATTTACTATCATGTTAATAATTACAACGTAAAATGGATTATTCTACACATAAAATTGGACACTTTATGCGTTGCTTAGACGGAAACAACACATACGTATGATGTTAAGGGTACTATGTCATCATCTTATGCCACGTCCATCACATATAGTAAAATATTAAAGAATAACAGAACAAAAGTCAACTTTTCCATCACAGTCGAGACAACCAAAATTGTAATGTCATCTCAGTGTGTGGTGGACCTGACTTTAACGATATTCCAAATGTAGACGACTCGTGGGCGCAAATAGGGGGCAGCTTTAAAGGGAAAGCCTTTCCAAAAAAAAAAAATGTTTATAGCTTACCCCTCAAACATTTCCTACATTTGAATTAACATTTTTAGTATTATTCAATAATGTTGTAGTACTGCTTTAACCCCACCCCCAAATCTCAGACGCTCTTTGCGTCTACGGTAGACGTTCATATTATACAGTAAAAACGATAATTGCATAGCTTAGGTTGTAAAGTTTAATACGTGAACTGTATCAAAATATTAGCCATAGTGTTAGAAATATTATATAAATATGGTAACCACTATAATAGCGTTCTGTTTATTAATTATTATTGTATCGCACACTGCCTCAGTCGAGTTTTATTAAAGCACACGAGCTGGTGATACGAAGTTATAMGAACAGTCACCGCCACCACATCGTATAATATGTATATATAGGTACTTATGTTTAAAAACGAATCAAAAAACCACACATATCTAATCGACGGTGTTGTCTATAATATAGACTCTAGTACTCTATATTATCATAATAAAGATAATATTAATACTGTGTGGCATGTACACGCTGTATAATACGTCGTTCGCAGAGAACAGTTCGYCAGGGACGACTTAAATCGTCGCGACACTCTGCTATTATTATATATATATATATATAATACAGCTGCTGCTGTAGTCCGAGAAATGATTATTATTATAATCCTGAGGGACGCTGTATATACGGACTTGCCATCGTGCGACTCCACGCTGTATTATTATAATATATATCCATTGTAAATCGTAATAATATATATTATATACTTGTGTGCCATTTGTCTTGTTGTATTCGAGTGTCCTTGCCCGTTGGCCACGTCCAACTGTATATTATAATATGGCGTTTTCAGTATAACGGCCCTCGTATTCTATGGACGCCGTTCTGGACAATATGTGTACCTATACCTGTTGCACCGGACATCATTTGGAGACACTCTGGCAATATAATATAACTGCAGGTGTCGAATTGTCCGGCCGCCGTCCGAGTCCGGTGTATGCCACGAATAAAACGCGTAYATGTCCCATTCATCTGAACGTCGGCTTTCGCCATTTATAATATACTTATCGTAAAATGTGCCGTGGAAATATGAAATAACGCGTTAGCTTAAACGTTCATAATATATTGTTATATTTAAATAAATTATTGTCATGTTTGGACAATCTTTTCCGGATCTGTATCTCTATACCTAGGTGTATAATCTGTGCGCTAATCAAAGTTTAAAAAAAACTTTACGAGTCGGTATTAAATTTATATATTGTATATGTGCGTATCCTCAAAAATGTATTTTCCGCAGCATGATCGGGGAATGGTGACAATCATTGACAGTGCTGAGATTTGTCAAAAAATACAATTTTATAGACATATTTAAGAAAATGTTTAAATTACCTTTGTTTGAATATTGTCGACTGAGATCTCCAACCAATGCWTTATATATATACAGTCGAATCTCGATAACTCGAATGTCAAGGGACATAAAAATAAATTCGACTTATGTATTTTTCGAGTTACTTAACTCGAATTTTTTTTAAAATACGAAAAAATTCGAGTTAGACATTATTTTTTTAAACATATTTTTAATAATTTAATATATTTTTTTGTACATATAATGTTTCTACCAGGGACGGGCTGGGAAGGTCCCAGTCCACCATTATAATTGTAAGTTCTTTAGAGTTCATTAGCTCCCTATTAAGACATATTCTGGCAATATTTTTCTCTGACTGTGCTTATATGGATCTATATTTAAAGCGTAACAGAAAGACCGGCTGACGATTGAAATRAATTTTGTCCTATAATTAATATTTAGATTTATTAGCAATTTTTAGACCTATGCGACAGTATAATATTTTTTTTTATTTAACACCGAAAATAAAAATTTAAAAATATATTTTAAGAGAGAATGAGGGACTCTGTCGACCATGTTTTATTAATTAAAAGTTAGCATTTTGTGGCATAAGAGGCATAAGAGGCTTTTAATTTAATTAAGACATCATAGGTATTTTAGTAATGAATTAATGCTGTTTGATATCTTAGTTTCAACTGTGACATAATTTATACTTGAGCCAACTAAAAACTGTAATAAATTTATTTTAATTTAATTAAGACATTTATTTATTATTTGACAATAATTTCAACAAGTTAGACTACGTCATGGATTATTTAGTGATATTAAAACGAATTAATATACATAAATCATAAATGGACTTTTAAACACATACTCAGATGCTGAAATATTCTGTTATGCAGATGACACTGTTATTCTGATTCAAAGTCTTAACTACGATAATTTATATAATATAGCTAATAACTGCTTATTCATATAATAAATAATTGGTGTGATCATAATAACTTAAATAATAGTTTGCAGTTAAATTTAGTTTAATCTAAGTACACGGTTTTTAATATAACAAACACTGTAAGCTAATATTAATTTATCTCTTAGCTAATATACTTAGAATTGTAAATATTTTAAACATGATTGTAAGGGATGGTATACCTTCGAAAAAAGGTCAATTGCATTAAATGTCTTTTTTTTCCCGTTTTAACCGACGACGACGCGGGATCTGCTTTCGCATTGCTTCCGCGGCGCACATGCATTAAATGTCTATAGGCGTGCACTTTGACTTTAAATAAAAATTTATTGAACATATTATGCAATACGTAAATAATTTAACCAGAAAATTAATTTTTAAATTTCGATTCCTTAAAACATTCTTGA